TTAATGAAGAGATTATATTATATTAATATAACAACAGAATTATTTTTGCTCTATTATTATTGAATATTGAATGTGTTTGTAGTAATTATTAAGAATCATATAAACACTACAAACTGTTTTAATGTTTCAATAGAATATTATAGTTCAGTTTGTTCAGAATAATATTACCTTCATATTCCATATTGTAGGAATTGTAATTCTATTGATTATTTAACATGTTCTATAGAACTTATAATCAAAAGTGAACATAATTTAAAACATATGCTTAGTATTTATATGGTTATTATCTTGGTAATAACTCATGTCAATTTTTGTTTATGATATGTAGATATTAAAAATAAATACAGTTATTTATTTATAAATTAAACGTTATGTGATGTTATCAGTGGAAATATCTGTGAAATATATTCAACTCATATGCTAAAACAGTGATTAATTGTGTGCTACTTATAACACTATTAATCGTTATATATATGATTCAAATAACTATTTTTCTTATTGTGATATTAAATATTATATTGTTCAAGTTATTCATATATATTCCATGTTGTTTATCCGAATTTGAGATATATAATTCAACAATAAATTGCATTTTATGTTATGCATATTGTTGTTTAGTAAAAGTATTTGTAGTCTTTTGTTTTTAGTTAATAACCAAAATTGAATGAAATGCTTAAATTTCAGATGTGATATTTTAAATTGCTCTTCTTGTCCAATACTACCATATACTTATAACGGTTATAATACTGGATATTATCTTAACTCTGATAATTTTTGTAAACAATGTTTAGAGCATTTTCTCATTGCTCTTTTTGTTCATCAATTCATTGTACAATATATGCTAATAATTATTTTTAAACTTATTATATCAGTGTCAAGAATATTCAACTATGATTTATTGTTTGACTTATTCTCCAACATATGAAAAGTGTTCGAGTTATGTATTTGATTGTTATAGTTTCTCTGCAACACCAACACTTATTAACTATTCAACTCTTTCTGATTATAAATGTTGTAGTAATTATTTGATAAGTATTGAATGTAATTCTAATAATTATTTAGAATAAACAAAAGGAAACCAATGTAATACTGATACTCGTCGTTCATCATGTATCATACTACAAAAATAATGATTATCTGTATTCAAACATATAAAAAAACCAAAATCAAAATTGATTGAAATATACTTTGTAAAGATTGTCAAATAATACAACCAAATTGAAAACATGTAACTCATATTTCAAACGTTTTACATGTGATAACTATCTTCAAAGTTTACATATTTGACTTGTGCAAGTTGTAATTATTCATTTACTGAATATTTAATATCTATCAAGTAATCTTATTGATGTATTTGATGTTCAACAAAAAGTCTTTTTTGAAGTACATATGTGAATTGTGTCTATTTATTTTTTCTTTTTCAAAGCTTTTATAATATTTCCAATACTTATATATAAGTTTTTAATATCAATACATATGGTGGTTATCAAACTCATGACTCACATACTAATTGTTTAGCATTTAACTCAAATTATTATTTAAATTCTTCATCAGCTCCTTGTTCTAAAATCTTATAATTGATCCCATTCTTCAAGAGAACTTTGTATATTGTATTTTAATGATAATTATTTAAACAATTAATGAATTTTCCCAAATTGTAACTTGATGAAAGATTATTCTGTATGTAATAGTAATTCAGAAATAGTATTACTTGTCATTCAAGACTTTATTTAAATAATAAAAGTAGTTACAGCAATTGTTGAAAAGATTGTTCATATCATTTTTCTAAAGTACGTTGTATTATTGTAATGAAAAGTATGTGTTATAAGATAATAACTCTTGTAATTTTTATTTAGAAACAACAGTTTGATGTTCAACGTGTAACAAAAACAAATTAACTTATACTATTTTGACATTAATTATTTTACAAGAGATTATATATGTTTTCAATACACAGAAACAAATACAAAATGTATTTCTTGTGAATATGATAGCAAACAAGGTAAACCAATATGTAATAATTGTTCTTATAAAACCATGGTAAAAATGTACCTGTTCAATATATGAAATCAACAAGTATATTGAACATTATAAATATGTTAAATTTGACGGTAATTGTAATAGATGTTACAATATAAAAAGATATTATTTACTTATAACTTTGGTTATCTTTTGATACAAATTATCATTTTAATTTCAATAAAGAACAAATAAAAAATTCTGAACGAATACACAAGGATATATTATGTGTAAAGAGTGACACTATTATAAAAAATAAACAGTGTTATGAATTTGATGTTTCATGTTCAATCCATGTTTTAAATGGTAAATAAAACAAAACTTGATGTAAATTTGGTTGTTATAAAGAAACATTTATTCGAATCATGACAGAAACATGTAAAATTATTTGTATTGATAATGAAAAGTACCATTTATCAAAAATTCAATTATCTACAATAAAAAATAAAAATAATTTTTTCAATCACAACAAACCCACAGTTAGTGTCTTTGAAAAAAAGGAAAACTGTGTGAATTTGAAATATTTGTTAAATTATTATGTGTCTGTATTATAGATGAATATATTGTAATTTCTTGTTTAGGCATTAAAAAGGAATTAAATATCATTTAGAACTTAAAGTAAAATGTGAAATAACAGATAGATTAAGTCCAGAAGAATTAAAAGAAGATAAAAAGACTTGGAGAAGGATTATTTGGCATTATCTTTTTAAGAAAAAATAGAAGAAATAAATTGCTAATAAAGAAAATGAAACAAAAAAGTGAACCTTATTTGAATAGAAAAATGAAAGAATTTAAAAAAGAAATATATATAAGATAAAAGTATAAACAAATGTGTTGTTCATTTTTATGGTGAGGAGGTATTTCAAAAAAGATATGTGTGGTAATAGAAGTTGCTGAATATGACTTATAACAAGATTTTATTAGAAAAAGAAAAATTAGTCTTATTGAATTTAAGAAAAAGATTAGACTAGTATTGAACGTTGCTAAAGGATTAAATTGCCTTCATTCAAGTAGTGCACTACATCATAATATTAACCCTGATAATATTCTTGTATTTTTTCTTCGACATTAATATTAAAATTAATGATAAATTAACTGATTTTGGAAGTGCAAAAAACATGGATGTATTAGTAACAATTATGATATTCACTAAAGACTTTGAAACTCCTGCAAATATGACTCATGAAGCTCTTAATAAAAAGCATTATAAAACACCAACCGTTCCTTATTCATTTATAATAACAATATTTGAAACAATTAAATGATGACCAACCATAATCAAAAGAACTTTATAAATTCCCTTAGATTATTTGTTGATGTTGTACTAGAAAGAAGTTATCCAGACATTTTTTCGTATGAACCAAGTCTTAAACGTCTCATTGAAATGTGTTGGAAGCAAGAACTTAAAGAGCGATTTGTTTCATTTTAAATAGTAACTGAATTGCCGAACCACCTACACGTATTAGACTTAGTGATATTTATAATATTCCTTCAATTGAAAAGTTCAATGATAACTAACATAAACCCAAAAAAATTCATAAGAAGAAAAGAGAATTATACTTATTAGTTAAAACTTGTTAATATTTTTGTGATTGAAAATTCTTTTCATTAAGAAATAACAATTTAATTTTAAACAGAAATCAAAAAGAACTTAAATTAAATAATAATATATTCATTTGACTTATGCATAACACTTCTAAGATTAATATTTTTATTTTTTATCTTTTGGTTGGGTATTGTTTTTCATCAGAAATTAAAATATTACAAATATCAGACATCCATTATAATAATGCATTTAATATCGATTATCCAAATCAATGGTGCCAATCAAGTGACTTAACTCCTAAAACTGATTTGAATCATAGATATGGTATTATTAATTGTAATCCCCCTATTGATCTTATTGATGCTGTGTTTGAACATTCATCAAAACAAGCAAAATATTCGGCAATAGTATTATCAGGAGATATTTGCTCTCATGAATTAACAGACTCACTTTATCGTCAATGTAATGATGTATTAGTTAAGAAATTGAAACAATATTTTGGTACTACTCCAATTATTTTTGCAATGGGAAATAATGACACACCAACTCCAAAAAATATAACATGCTCTGATCAATATTATGAATTTTTATATAATAAATTTGTTGATTATATTCCAACAAATCAAAAAGAACAATACCTTCGTAATGCATGTTATAGTCAAACTGTTGATGGTCAATTATATATTGTTATTAACACTAATTTATTAAACCCATTCCAGCACAATGACTGTGGTGTTTTAGATTGGTTAGAAAATCAACTTTCTATTGCTAAAGCATCATCACTTCATCCAATTATTGTTGGTCATATTCCACCAGGAGTTTCTTCTTATGACCTTAAAGCACAACTCAAAGAAGAATATCAAAATCGTTTATTTACAATAATTAAGAAATATAAATCAACTATAAATTCATTATTACTTGGGCATATTCACCGTGATGAGTTTAGATTACTTCCATCAGAAGATCCAGTTGTTATGTTAGTTGCTATTGGAATTAGTCCTGTTTATACCAATAACCCTGGATATAAAATCTTTTCAACAACACCAAATAGAGCAGAAGGGTATATTGATTCAATTCAATACACTATGAACCTTAATGAATCAAATAATCAAAAATTCCCAGTATGGTTTGAACCTTATTCTTTTATTTCAGAATACCAAGTAAAAGATATTTCTATTTCATCATTACAACAAGTTAAATCTTTAATCTTTAATGATGTCATGAAAGGGTCATTGTACCGATGGAGAACTGTTGGGTTATATGATCGTAATGAAGTCCAAATTAAATGTGCTATAACAGCTACTTCAAAAGAAGAAATGTTACAATGCACTAAATCACCAACTTGTGTTGGTTTAAAATATTAACAAATAAACATAAAATAAAAAAGTTAATTTAAAGGTTAAGTTTCTCCCTCCATTTTAGTAGTTTTGATAAATTAATTCAAAGAAAACATATTTTGAATAATAGTTAGATATTTCAAGGAAATCTCTGGACGTTTTAATTTTAATGCAGCAGTTAATAATTCATTTTCTGCAGTCCATTCTTCTTTAACAAAAGAAAAGTGTTTAACTTTTTGTCTTTCTGTTAATCCTTCTTCATTCTCTTTTAATAATAACTTTGCTTTATTTAACACTTCTTTGTCTTCAATAGCTTCTTCAAATGGCTTACCCCCACTTAACTCAGCAATAACAGCTTTATTAGGAACAATTAAAGCAACAACAAAATCATGAAAAGAATCTGCAAAAACACAAATATTGTCAACTAACTTATTACTACTATATTTTGATTCAATCAATTCTAATGAAATATATTCTCCACATGGTTGTTTAACAATATTCTTCTTTCTATCAATAATACAAATATGTAAATCATCAGTTATTTTTGCAATATCACCTGTACAGAACCATCCATCTTCGGTAAATGCTTCTTTATTTTCTTCTGGTCTATTGAAATATCCTTTTGTTACAGGAAGTCCTCTAAACATTAATTCACCATGAGGAGGATGATCTGAAGTCATATGTCCAAGTTCTGGAACATCTCTTAATTTGACTTCATACATTGGAAGAACAACACCAATTGATGCAATTGTTGGATCTCTATGTGGCATTGCACATGCAGCACCACAAAGTTCAGTCATACCAAATCCTTGCATAACAGAAACATCAGGTAAAATTGCTTGAAGGAAATATTGTAATTCAGCAGGAAGAGCAGAGCCACCAATAACAATTGCTTTTATATTAGTACCAAGAAGAGAGCGACATAATGGTTTAAAAATCATAGCATCAACTAATTTAACTAATGGCATAAAAAGATATGGTGTTCTTAAAGCATAATCAACATAACATTTTCTTTTAATCCAATAACCAGCACCAAATAATATTTTCTTAAATTTAGGTTGTTTTTCAACAGTTTCTAATATTCCTTTACGAACTCTATTAAATACAGTTGGAACTCCAATCATAGCCTCAGGATTAAATTCAACTAAATCTGAGTTACAATTAAAACATCCTCCGGAAGTTAATGTTCTAATTCCAGCATATCCAATAGTACCAAAGTCCATTAATAATGCAAACTCAATTCCAATTTCAAATATATGTGCTAATGGTAAATATGCAATAAATCGTTCTCTATTAAATTCTAATACATATTTATATCCACATGATAACATTAATATTTGTTTTTGATTTACTAAAACTCCTTTAGGACTTGCAGAAGTACCTGATGTATACATAATAATTGCAAGATCATCTGCATGTACTTCTGGATATTCTGTTGATTCTTCAGATAATAAAAAGTGTTTAAAGCTTAGTTCATCACTTTCTTCTCCATCAACATTAATTACTTTAATTGATTCTTTAAGATGAATTTTTGGTAATCTTTTTGCTGTATCTTCTGATACAACAATTGCTTTAATATCAGTTTCTTCTAATGCAATCTTAACTGATTCATCTCCTAATGTAGCATAAACAGTAACTATAACAATTCCTTGACGAGTAGCAGCAAGTAAGAAAGCCATCCACTCATATCTTGTTTCACAAAAAATACCAATTTTATCTCCTGGTTTATATCCAGCTAATCTAATTCCATTTGATAATTTATTAATCATATGATAATATTCAAAAGAAGAAAACCAGTGATAGTGTGACATTTGATACTTAAACAATGTTTTTTCTACTTCTTTACCATTGACAACAACTGTCATTGTTTTAAATGGTACGACCTTTTCACATGTTCTATAACCAACATATTCTTTTTTATTTTCTTTTGTCATTCCCATAACTAAATCATTAATAGTATTATATCCTGGAATATTGTAGTCAATTGGTTTATCTTCAGCTTTATAACCTCTTAATATTCTAGTTTCTCCTGGTTTAGCTTCACCAACCCATCGTCCATTAAATTCTTGTGGATAAGTTTTGGGTCTTAAATAATATAATATAACAGAAGTGACTACTAAAATAACAACTGTTGTGATAAAATCCATTTTATTTTATTTTTTTTAGTTTATTACCTTTTATTTTTGATAACCCTCATAATCTTTTCTTTTTTTATCATTTCTTTTTGTCTGTTTATGTCTGATATTATCTTTTTTTATGTTTTTCTTTTATTTCAATATTATTTTTTACTATTTGTTTCTCTTCTTAAATGAACAGTTGGTTATCTCTTCTTTGTTTGTTTTTTTTTTCTCTTTATATTATTAAATATAACTTTTTTATTATTAAATATAATTTTAACACTTTGTATTGGTAAAAATATGCTATTCTCTTGACTTGTCTTTGTTAAAAATAGAATAATGATTTGAAAAATTTCTTAAATGATGAATTGTCTATTTAGCTCCACATCATTAACGTTATTTTTTAAGATTAAAAATATATTTAAAAGTTCTTCTTAAACATCGTTATATAAAACAAAAATAAATTTATTCATTTAAGTTTAGAAAGAGCATAAGCACATTCAATCAAATGAGTCATCATATGATTAACATCAACAACAAGAGGTAATCGAGATGCTAAAATATATGTCTCTTGAGAAAATTTTTTAATTTTACCAACACATTTAATATATTGACCGACCCTAATTAATTAATTAAACACTCTTTTTTTTATTCACCATCAACAGTTATTAAACAAACTCAATATTTTCTTCTGTTGAATCTATTTGATATACCCCAACAACAACACTTCCTGTTGAATCATTAATTGTATATCTTTTAACATCATTTTGTATATCGATATTTGTTATTCTACCACAAACAACAACAGTATTTAATACAACTTGTTTATATGTGAATTGTTTTTTGTTATTAGATTCAGTATGAATAAAACTTAATGCAGTTAAAGGAAATACAACACTTTTATTTTCTGTATTTTTTCTTGGTGAACTTTGTGTAAATCCACCAGTTGTTTCAGTATCAAAATTAGCATATGCCATTAACTTTTTATCTTCTCATTTTTTGAGATTTTTTCTTTTTATTATTTTTTTTATTTTTAAAGGGTTTTTTTTTAATATTTTATTTTTAAATAAAAAACTCAAATAGAGATATAATGGGATATATAACAAAAATAACAAAAGTAATAGATGAATTAAAATAATTAACAATGAGTTTAAAACATTGTGGGGAATCTATCACAATAACATTTTAATTGTTCACGTACAAATTCTTCTGTAACAGTCATTAACCCAGGTTCTAAAGTAGAACACCCATGTTTCTTTTTCATATCACCTTCGCTTAAATGTGCTTTTAAATTGTTTTGAGTAATTTCAGTAAATGGTAAATCAAAATGTTCATGAATTTTTTTAATCATTCCAAATGGATCTTTAGTAAATTCTTTAAACGAAACATCATAAAACTGATGAGCTCTTTCTGGTTTTTCTTCAACCCAACTATCTCTAGCAGCAATAGCATTTTTTAAACATAATTGTGTCATATAAACAACCGTTTGGTTTAACCATTCTTTATCATTCATTCCAACATCAGTTGGACACATTAATTGTGTTTGTTTATATAAATGTAAACAACTCTTAAAATTACTAAAAGGATCTCTATGAATCCAGACAAATCTTCCATCAGGGAAGGTTTGTAAAAGATTTTTCATAAATGCAATATGTTGAACATTCTTTAAACATAAATATTCATCATCTTTAACATTATTTTCAACCATATCAATTTTAAATATATCTCTTAAAATATCATATACATATTGCCAGTCTCTTTTAAATATTTGTCTACGATATTCTTCATACCTTGGAATAGCACATGCTTGTGCAAAAGAACATCCTAACATTTCCATTGGGAAATAATCTTCTTCAGGTTCATCTACTTTAAATCCATGAGTTGTATCTAAGTCATCAGCATTTCCATTCATCCAAGATATAATCATTTCACAAAATTTTTTTCTTCCTTGTAATGACATTGTTTTTGTTCCTGGGAAAAATTGTTGAAATAATGCAATTGTTCTTGCTTTTTCACCACATGCTAATAAATGATGAAGAAATGTTGTTCCACTTCTAGGAAGTCCAATAACAAATAATGGTTTTTTAATTTCCATTGTTTGAATTTCTGGTGTTAGTTCAATTTCTTTAATCATTCTTACACATGCCATTAATTTCATTGCAAATTGTCCACAAAATGGTAAAGAGACTTGATATGATACTAACAATGGATTAATCCCTGCAAACATTGGAATAAATCCTGTTTGAATTGGTGAACCTTTTTCAAAATATTTCTTTGTTTCTTCAATATATTTAGAATACTCTTCTTTTCTACTTGGATCAAGATATTTTAACATTAATATTCCTGTTTTCATAAATATATTCCATTGAACTGAAAATGATAAATCACTTAATAACTCAGCTCCATAAGGAGATGGATAAGTTGGTTCATATAAAGCAACATTTTCAAATCCTTCAGCCATGAATGAATGAATTTATTCTTTTTTAAGTTCTTATGAAACCTGATTTTTTATGATTTCTTTTTGATTATTACTTATTTACTCTTCTTATTTATTTATTCTCGTATTAATTGGTCATCTCTCCTTTTTCTATTTAATTTATTCTTTTTATTATATTTTATTATTATTATTTCTTTCTTTCTTTGTTACTTCTTTATTATATTTTTTCTATAAAAAGGGTTTTTCCTTAATTTTTTTTGTAAATTCGTCTTATGTTCTTTTTTTTTTAATTTAAACTATACTTTTAATATTTTTTTATTATTTTATAATATTTTGTTGTATTTTCCTTTATGTTTGCAAATCTCTTTTTTATAAAAAGAATTAATGAATTTTTCACTTGAAATTCCTTCAACGTTACTTCATTTTTGCTGATTTTTTTTTAAATTATGAGAATGAGGAATGTTCATTTAAATTAAAAACAAACTTATTATTCTTCATTTAATTAGTTTTTTTTATGATATTTTTATAATAAGAATTTATCTTTTGTTTTTTTTTTTTGTTATTGAATCTCAAAGAAAATGATAAAATAAAAAAAATTGCCTTTTAATAATTTTTATCTTATCCTCATAAAAAAAATAATAAAATATAAATTGTTGAAAAATACTTTAAATTAAAGTCTTTTTAAACAAAACCAGGTGGTGGTGTTTGGTTTTGTTGTGAAGTGTTTTGATTCGAATTTTCATTTTGTGCTTCTTCATTTATTAGTCTTTGTAATTCTTCAACTGACATTCCCATCATTTGAGCAACCATTCCAATCATTGGTCTCATTGATGGATTATTTAATAATGAACGAGCCATTGAAGACATTCCATTTTGACCTCCAAACATTCCCATTAATGAACTAATATCAATAGCTCCAGGATTTGTTCCTTGGTTTCCTTGGGTAGAACCAACTAAATTACTAAAGATATTAGCGAAAGGATTTGGTTCTTCATGTCTAGTATTTTGTGAGTGTTCTTGTTCGTTTGAATGAGTTTCATGAGAATCTTTTTTTTCTTCAGTATTTTTAGGTATATTTTCTTCTTTGGGTTGTTGTTCTTTTTGTTCTTGTTGTTGGTTAGAAGAAGAAACTTGAGGTTGTTGATTTTGAATAAGACATTTAATTTGTTCAAGATTACTTTTAAAAACAACATTATTTGGGTCAATAATAAGAGCATCTTCTATTGCCTTTTGTGCTTCAGTGTATTTATGTTTTTTTGTTAAGGCAATAGCTAAACGAGCATATGCCTTAGCATAATTCGGATCTAGTTCAATTGCCTTTTTTGCATCTTCAATTGCTAAATCATTTTCTTCAATTGAACAATAAGCAGCAGAACGATTAGAATAATAAACTGCTGCTTGATTTAATTGTATTGCTTTTGTATATTCATCTATTGCTTTGGAATAGTCTTTAGCATTTAGATATTCATTTCCTTTTAATTTATGTTCATCAGCCTTCTTTTGAATATCCGTAGTTTGTTCATTTGGTTTCATTCCAACAAAATGGCATTTTTTACTGTAATGAGTATCAAAATATTGTTGAGCAGTTCTCATTTTAATTTCTCTTTGTGACTGAGTACAATCATTAAAAAATCCTTTTTTTTCTAAGTTAGTTATAAATTTTTGGTATAAAGGATTTGTGGTTGACATCTACTTATTTCGTTAATTTTTTTTTATTTTTAAATTTAATAATTAAATATAGTTTATAATAAACTAT